GACTTAGGTCCAGGATTGAACAGGAGGAAGCAAGCAGCTTGGGGAGCTCTAGAGAACATCGAGGGTGCGGTGAGGAAAAGAAAACGACTCTGTGCTTACGTTTACGATTTCACGATGCTCCCTGCCTTAACGTAAGAGACAGAAACTTGGTCGCCACTTACGCAACATGAAAAATCACTGAGCTTTATAGAATGCGCAGGCGAAAGGACGATGCTAGGAGTATCCCGTGCCATGCAAGTGAGGGAAGGGGTTCGATGCTCCGAGCTGGGTTGACGATCAAAATTTAAAGGTGCCCTTTAATACAACAAACCGTCGAAGGTAAGGTAGCCGGACACGTAATGCGTATGAACGACAACCAATGGACGAATGCCGCTAGTGACTGGATTCGTCAGGATGTCAAACGTCCTGCGGGAAGACCAATGACCCGATGGTGAGAGTTATCCATAATAAACCTACAAGAAAGATGTGATGCTCAATGAGTACCTGGAGCAAGCGGAACCCACCGAGCTATTCTTGCGCCTGATGGAGAGAAATGGAGAGTTTATTGGCGCCAGCTCGACTCTCTCGGTTACTCATGGGAGGACAGGTGATACAGATGATCTACTATTTGAGTATTTAGTCATGATGTTCACCAGTGGTATAGTGCAAACCTGAATTATGAGTCATTACGCCTTAGTGATTATAAGAAACCTAGATAATCTCTCATCCTGTTTGCTCCACTGCAATTCGTGAGTGAAACTGCTTCGACCTTGCTCTGCGCTACATTGATCCATATCATCAAGCTCGTGTTGTTGAGGATGCCAACGTCGCTGATTTCTCTGCTATCACATGTTCCGAAGAATTGTTCTCAGTGGGTGTCGCCTTGTCGTAACCCTCTCTTTAGGTCGATGTAAATGCAGCTATAAAGCAGCGCTATTTTGACGACGAAATTTTTATATAGCTTACGATGGATCTTTATACTCTACTCAGATAATGGCCATTTTCAAGTCGAGGGAGACAAAGCGATCTCCTGTACTTGATTATTCAGCGAATTTCGTTATCGCGTGGATGCGGTCTGTTGTGTCTAACTTTTTCGAACTCCTGCTTGTTTACATAGCTGTCCCTCGTCTACTTCCCTACCAATCCTGTTGAAGACGACTTGAATGAAGTATTTGTAGAAGACATACAGGAGGCGCATTGAGCGATAATCGCCGATGTCGAGATCGCTCTTCTTGTGCAATAGCATTGTCTGGTCATCAATTAAATATCTTGAATTTCGACATGTACCGTGTGAACAGCCGAGCCAGTGTTTTAATGAGGGGTGGTGGAAGGTTATACAGATATTCTTCCCAATTTCTACAGCTTCAGCAGTTACTGATGATCTCCACTTCCTACGATCTTTTATCTGCCTTTTGGTTATTTTTGGGAATTTCTTAGATTACACAATCGTGTTTTCTTTCCACAAAAGAAGTATCTTTGCGCAAAGGAAGCGATGGATTCGATTTTTCAACTTCTGATTGAAGGACCATCGATTTCCCATGATATTGTCTTTTTCGCTGTGATATTATCCATTCGAAGAATCTCACGCCCAACGTTGAAGAGGGTTATCCGAAACTGTGAGCTATAATCGGTGTTCTTGTTCATCATGATAGACTCAGATAGTCGCTCACCGTTGGTTCCACTCCAATCCACGGAATCCAATGTGACCTTCTTCAGGCGTTCTCCTGTGTTCTTTTCTTAACGTTGAAGTTACCAATTACCTTAATAAAGTATGGTCTTCTCTGTAGAACTTCTTGAAGGCTATATAGAGCGGTTCTATCTCGTCTTCGTCACAGCTTGATGTGGATGTGCAGACAACAAGAATTGTCAGAACCGGTATTTAGCAGCATCCCTTCAACTGTACTTGATACATACTTGAATCTGAACGGCTCGTCCTCACTGGTTGTGCGGGCCCCAGCATAATCACAATTTTTAAGAGATTTACTGGTTAAGCCATTGCGGTTCCGTGGAATTCTGAGGTCAGCATGGCCAAAGTTTGCTCCAGGTTTTCATCACCACAAGCAGTCGCAGTCCTTGTGGATCAGAGGGAAGTTTGCCACCATGTGACTTTGATATCAGGACGGTGGTGGATCCTGGTATTGGACCTTGCCGGGTGGACGAATCTCCCTACTGTACATCGCAGTCCGACACCCAGGAACACCTCCCAGCCACGATGAGGCGGTAAACCGTTGAGAGGGGTATACTAAGCTATGCTTGCAAAAAGCCGTTTCGGACGGTGGAAGGGAATCAGTGGATACGAAAACATGTACTGGACACGGAAATACAGTTCGTCTATCACACAAAACCATGCGGAAAGCTAGCAAAATCATGATTGGAGAACGGCCTAATTTTTTAGGTACACAAAAGAGTTAGATCACACATAAGTGGTGTCCAATAACATGAAGACGTACAGAGAAGAACATAGAGGATGTGCAAAAGTTAGACAGACATGGAGAACATTCGAGGTAGCTAGAGAACAGAACGGTGATCTCACGAAACCACTGCGTCGTGCCGCTTGCATGGGATAACGGACCATACATCTTTATTTCAATGCGCGTTCAGACTGCGCTCCAATTGCACGTGGTCCAAGGATCCCAACACGCGAAAAAGGCCGTGGTCATGAAAGGATTAACTCTAATTCGCCAACTGGGTACGCGCTACGTAGCGCCGTAACTAACTGGGTGGCGATTCCTAAGCATGGGAGATCCGTTGATCGTCTATCTAGTTTTGTCTATGACTGGAAGTTGGCGTTGTATTTGAATTCCAGGAAAGCGATGCTCTTAAATCTATTACTACAGCTAGAAAACCTAGTAAACCAGCAGGAACTAACGACTTTCAATAAAACTGTAATTGCAATTCAAAGTGTCAGATTTAAAGTTACAAAAGAGACGGTTAGATAGATTCCCTTGCGTGTCATCCGTCCTAGCGCTGCAGTTTTTGCGCTCCAGCGAGAGCTGCATATGTCTTTGGCCTCTGGTCTCCCTCAAACTTATTTTCAGTTTTGTACGAGTTTCTTAATGAATAATTACCGATATGGATTTATCCCGACTTGCGTGACTGGAATTAACTTCGCTTTGAAGCTGTGAATGAACCTTAGCCTTCGGGGAACTTTACTGTCTGAAGTGAAATTCCATGTATCCTCCAGATCATTGCCAACAAAGTACGAGCTTTCTCATCCTACACAAGACCTGGTTTTCCAGAGTCTGACCATGGACCCTTGGATATTCTACTTTTGTCAAGACTCATATTTTAAAGACCGATTGAATGAACGTGGTTTTGTTCGGCAGAACGTGATGGCGTTACTGAGATGAGTCATTGATGTTAGCGGAGTTCTTGCTTCTGTTGAAAATTTAAGGAACTAAGTCCCGCTCCTGAACAAGTGCGAAATGAAAATGACATACTTTAAAGAAAGTAAGCGCACTTTGCAGAGCAGCGCAGCGAAATCTCGTTTAAAAGTTCGTCACTTTCTCAACTCCTCTGCATGGTCCATTGTAGAAAGTGTGGATCTTTTCGTCTGTAGCGAAATGACTGGTATAGGTGTGATGTATAGTAACTTATCGTTTTCAGAGCAATTGACCTCTATGAGAGGACTGAAGGGCTCACGCAAGATCACAGCACCGACTTCCGTCTCCAACACAATCTGCTATTGGTGAGCCGTTTTTGGATTTCATATTCTGTGTTTGTATTCTCTTCCTAACGTTTTACCGCTTCATCGTGGCTGGGAGGTGTTCCTGTGTCAACAAGGCCTCCCAGACTGAGGAGTCTAGCGTTTTCATTAGGAAACCCAGCTAACAGTAAGCCAATACCAGGATCCACCACCGTCCTGGTATCAAACTATTCTCATGGTGACAAATCTCCCTTGGATCCGCATGGACTGCCTGTTGTGGTGGCGATCAGAGGCAGAGTTTGTCCTGGCTGACCTAGGGACTCGAGGGAACCACAATTGCTAAGCAAGCAAAGCTCCAAAACAATGGGAACTTTGCTGGGGTCCGTGCAACCAGTGAGGACGAGTCACCCAAGTAAGTTTTCGTATTCTACATATTTTGCCTTAGAGGATTTCCTTGGAAGGTGGAATACGCGTTGTGTTTGTCGTTTCCGTTTTAGTGTCGAAAAAGTTCTGATACATTGTTGACTGAGTACTCTTGATGTGCTCTGCATTTCGGTCTCATTTTTGCCCTAAGAAAAAGGTCTAGTTGATTCTGACCTAATGTAAAGGCCAAAAATTGCAGGTAAACGTCTTCTTGAAGTTGTAGATTTGAGTCTCAAGTAACACTTTTAATATAGGTGATAGGTTCTGCGTACGTTGCATAAGCAGGAAACAATACTTTATAGCATCTTTATTGGCACACTTGGACATTCTAGTTCTGCTTAGTTGTGCCAGTTCCGTAAGAATCTATTTAACTGCTGCTTTGATGGTAAAACATTTTTTTGTGGAAGCGAAGATCGGTGAAGACTTTGGCTCTTCTACGACTTCGGCGATTTCCAGCATCGATTCATTTTTCTTTTTTTGTACCAGTGGGGAATTCGTCATCTTTCGCATCTTATTAACACTGGTGAGGGTTGGCCTGCGTGCGTCGCTGTTTGAAAATTATAAACATTTTTTCTGCTTGAATATCCGTAGACCTCTGAGAGGCTCCAGCGTTATGAAATTGTTTTCAGCAGAGCTTTCCAGAGTATACGTTTCGTCCCCATTTTGAGTCCCCAAATCACCTCATCATCCGATCACCGGTCATCCTCCCCCGTTTACAAATGCGCAAGAGTACTGTTCTAGGACAGGGCATCCTTTCATCGTCTGCAATTTGTGGACAAGGTATTAATTTTTATTGAGGTATTATTCCTACAATGACTCCTTGTCCTTTATTGAAACTGTATGTTTTTCTTAACCGATTGCTTGACACTTGACACTTGAACGGCCCGTCCTCCGGTTGTGCGGGCCCCAGCATAATCACCATTTGTCGGAGATTTGCTGGTTAAACCATTGTGGTTCCTCGGAATCCCAAGGTCAGTCTGGCCAAAGTTTGCCCCAGGTCTTCACCACCACGAACAGTCGCAGCCTTTGTAGATCAGAGGGTGATTTGCCACCTTGCGACTTTGTTACCAGGACGGTGTTGGATCCTGGTATTAGTTCACTCTTAGCTAGGCTTCCTGATTGAAACGCCGGACTCCTTCTCATCATGGGAGACCCTGTCGGGGGGACGAATCCCCACGCTGTACATCGCAGTCCGACACCCAGGAACACCTCCCAGCCACGATAAGGCGGTAAATACCGTTGGGAGGTAACCGATTGCTGAAAGAGTTAGTCTGGGTCTAATATTTTAAGTCTCTTACTTTTTGTAAAAAATAACTGCTTAGCATTAAAATCGGATCTTTCGTCGTGTTCGCATTATTCCCATTTAGTGCCATCAATGTGATTCAAAAAAGGTTTAGTAAGCTCTGTTTTTTGTGTTTTTGTGGAGTATTAAACTCGTTAGAAAAAGTGGTTTGCTTAACTTTTAAGTACCGCACTGTGGAAGCCGGTTTTAACTAACGTAATAAATTTATATACAGGGGCGCGTGTAGCACAATGGTCGGAGGCGCCCTGCAGTACGCAAGGGATCGATTCCCGCGCCGCAGGCTCACCAATCCTTCCATCCCTCTGGGCTTGGTAGCTTGCTATCAGATTTGTCTGGGAGGATAGCAGCAGTGGCTCGATACACGGTAGGCCACCGCGAATCATTATAAGGGCCAGACATCCATTCGGTCACCTCTAACAATGTTTAATGATGTCGAATGCATGACGCATCCCTCAGGGATTGACGAACGCCAAGTGGTCTATCCATTGTCCTTCAATAATCTCTATCCGTTATCTTTTTATAATAAGTATATAGTGTGCACAATGAATGTGATGCCGGTATTCCTTAACGTTTATTTTTTTTATCGCCTACGTTTTCAGTGATGGAGAGCGGGAGATTGGAACGATGGAGCTCTTTTGCTCTAGTTGTTCAAAATGGTTCCATGGACGATGTTTGAAAGATCTGAAAGATTTGTTGGTTTTCTATTAAGTTTTTGCAGTCGGATGCTGTTGTTCTTAAGTTCTCTTTTACAGTTATGGACTGAGCTTTATGGTGTGCTATGTTTTCCACTGTAAAGACTGCAGTCCTACTGGTATTGAAACCTGGGTAGCTAAACAAGCAAGTTGGTTTTAATGCATTAACTGTTTTTGCGAACGATTTCAGGCGTCGTGTTAATTTTCCGGTGTTTCAGATTTTAGCCACATGTGCGTAACAGTGCTGGCTAACCTGACTGCTGAAAAACTGAAGAAAGAGGGACAGCAGAAAACAGGAAGGCATATTTATTTCAAGTCAGATCAGTTTTTCAGTTTTTATTTTTTAGCAGGTAGTTCAGAAACCTTTCCATTTTGTATTCTTTCTTTGACTAGTGTGCACTACGTTGATATATAGTCCCTATTCGACTAATGTTTCGACGGTTTCGTTACGATCTTCTGACTTCTGCAGGATGGATTGTCCGAAAAAAACAGTGGACCATCGACTGGGGTCTTCGGCTCTGATGAAGACGAAACCGTCGAAACATCATTCGGATAAAGGTTATATATCAAGCTCTTGTAAACTTATTGAAGAAAGAATACATAGATGAGACATGCCGAGGTTAAAGGAAGGTCGGTTTTGAAATGCTGTTGTGTTCTCTTCATTTCAGTTTGCAAAACACGATAATCCCGTACTTCGATGCTAACTGGGAGAATTTGACTTCAATGCCTAGGCGTATCAAGAACACGTGGCACACAACACTACAAAAGACCCTCATTAAAGATACTGAACTCTTCAAGGGACTGTGGTGTAACTGTTTTTAGTTCGCGCTGGTCGTGCGTGATTTACATTGTTTTAGGTCAGTCCGGACGATGAGAACAGTTTCGCACTTCTGGAAACGAATCTCGCTGATATCGGTCCTGTTAACGAATCTGTAAAGCAGGTTACTTTCGTTTCGCTTTGCTAGTGACTAGGAGGAAATGTTCCTTAGCCGGTAAATCTCACAAGTACTGCGTATGACTGTGCTTTCGATTCAAACTCCGTCACTGCTTGAGACAGTTGCTCTCGTTAAGTGTATATTTTTAATTAATTTGATTAGATAGGAAAGAAAACCAGCATTGGTGAGAAAAGCAACCTTGCGTCAACCTTAGTTGGTGCACATCAAGGAATGGGCAGAATGTCTGGTGGAGATTCCGATATTGATGGTGGACCAAAGACACGTGGAGCCTCCAAACGTCGTAATGTGGACACTGTAGGAGGAGGGAAGAAGCCCAAACTGTGAGCTATTGATTTTTAGGGATTTACGGGATTTCAGGAACGACTTCCTTTTAATGTCGGAATTGATCAATAATTCAGTTTTCTTCACGAGCAAACATAAGGTTGTTATTACAGCATATCTTCATTAACAATAGCTGACATTTTGACGGTTTTGTATTCCAAAGAACCTGGAAAGGTTAGATTAAAACGCGATCTACTCAGCCAAACACTTTCATAATCTCGAAAGACAACACTTAAATCTCCATTTTCATAGTAAACAGCTTTATTTAAATACAATTTTTTAAATTTAAACCCTACAGTTATTTGATGGAGATTAGCCGCACGAATCCTTACATGGGTGAAGAATGTTTCTGGCTCAGGAAAAAATCCGCCTAAACTAACGGGAGAGTTCACGTTTAATCCCATGGCTTTTATCTCTGTGGTTCATCTTTGGATTTTGGAGTTTATTCAAAATTCTTTAGGAATTTTCGGGCCAGATATTTTAGACCCCAGTGGGAGGATACCGACTTTCACTTCAAAATCGTCTCCATTACGTTCTTGTGCCCAATGCTTCCGTAGTGGGGTGTTCTGTTTGAATTTAACTTTCCCAACTAGGCTCTGTTTTACACTGACGCGGAATGGTGCACCGCTTTCTCTAACGTATTCGTTCCCACACGCTTTACAAGAGGTTAGGCATACCGTATCGAAACTCATGCAAAATACCCTCTTTACCTTTTGGGCAAGTCATACAATTTTTCGTTCCGTAATGGCGGTTGTACAAATGGTTACGAACTAGCTAGTTTCATAGTGTTCGGATGTTTCAATCATTGCTTTCTCTAAACCGGTCGAAATATGTCAAATTTTGTGTTGAAGTTGCGAAAGTGTTTGATTGAGTAGATTGCATGTTAGTTTGACTTTTCTAGCCTCTGAAGAAAGAGAGACAGCTGAAACCTCAGTTATTGCAGACGAATAAGTCCTGTAATAGCAATCTAGTGTTTGTTCATCAAGAGAACAGTGATTTACAGAATTGCTTAATTATCCGGGCACATATTATTGCGGACTGTCACGTTCATTGGACTTTGGGTAGTAATCATTCACATCACTTCTTCGAATATCGACGTTTGAGTTTTGCAAGGTAGATCTTGCTATTAGGTCTGTTTTAAATTACGAGCAAGGTTAATCGGTGATTGGATAGAAATTTTCACTCTGGGGTTGGTTTGGTCTGGACCACAATCTTTTGTCGACTATCTCGTCCTCTTGCATGAGACGATGAAGAAATGAAATAATTTTCCGTTTTTTTTCTTGCAACAGTGATGGAATTGACTACTAGCAGGGCCTAAATTATGGATTTTATTGCAAGTATGTTTCCAATAAGTTGAAATTTCAACTATGTGTTTAATAACACCGCCTCGATGCAATTCTTTATTATTACGAATCTTCAATATCCTTTACTTTTTAGTGCCACCGATTATTCTTCTTCGAAGCTGGCTGCCCCCGACGGATCTGGCACAGTTGATTTTCCATTCAACAAGGAAGGTTATCGATATTTTCTCGTGGAAAGAGATCCAAATGTCATCGACAGGTGAGTCTGTGGGGTGTGACACAGTAGTGAGTTGCTTCAGAATAGACGGATATCTAGCGTTCAAGTCAAAATCACTTCAGTCGCATGCTAGATTAGGTTGTTCGGAAATTGATGCAGGATTTACCTTGTATACAATGAATGCATTATTCCGGCGTAATGGAGGGTAAAAGGCTCGAAGGAAGTGTTAGCGATTGCACAATGCAACGCTGTTTTCAGAAATGTAGTCGTGGAGAATTTGTCATTGAAAGTGACGAAGATTACAGAGGACCTTCTGCTATTCGCGAGTATGAATCGAACTCTTTGCTGAAAGCAAGTACAAGTTCATCTCTTCGGAACTTTAAGAAAAACTTCGTGTAAGCACCAGAAGTCGAACGTTTGACAGATAGATGCCGCATCAATTGAATGACTAACTGAAAGACCATCATTTAAAGATATCATCATAGCTTCTTCTTCTTCGAACTAGAACACCTCGTTTCTTGAGCGTATTGTGATGTGCGACATGAAATGAACCTCTGTAAGAACCAGCGCCAATGGGCTGTGGTTGGACTGCGATGAGGCTCCACTGCGCTTCACAAAGCCAAAATTGCACCAAAAGAGGGTTATTCTAGCAGTTTGATGGTTTGCTGCTGGCTTTGTCTACCACGGTTTCGTGAATCCGTTTAAAACTATTACCACGGAGAAGTAGGTTCAGTTGCTCGAGGAAATGAATCAGAAAATACAACGACTGCGCTAATCACTAGTAAGCATAAAACTCTCCACAAAATTTCGCGGCGATGCGTTTTACAATCGGCACCGTAAAAGTTGAGCTATCAGGGCTACGAAACTCTCTTCTTCAAGGATCTCGATAACTTAGTGGATGAGGAGGTTTTTGAAACCGAGCAAAGGTTAAAACTCCCTCCAGCGACGTGGATACCTCCAGAAGTCCAGAATTTTTTGCGACTGGTCTAAATCAACTTTTTTCTTGCTGGCAAAAAAGTGTAAGTTCCAACGGTTCTTATTCCGATTAATAACTTTTTTCTGAGCTTATATATACCAGTTCGAAAAGAAGGTGGAAATCGTTAATTAATTTCCGAACAATGTGATATTGTGTATCACCTAGTGGTCTGAACTCGTAAAAATTACTTTTTGAGCTTTTTCTCCCAGGATGCAACTAGAAGAAGACGACGGTTCTACACTGCGAATAATTCCTTCTCATTTGTACCGACTCCATATCCAGCGGACAGTTACCATTTCGCCTAATGATAGAGCTCACGAAGTAGGAGTAAATGCATATTAATTTCATTTCGTAACTAGCAAACCTCTTATAGCGGCTGATTTTTAGTTGCGGGTATCAGACGACCAGTTAACCGTCACAGGGTTTGAAGGTTATCGCGTTGCACGTGCTACCCATGCGGTAGCTAAAGGAACGTGGTATTTCGAAGTCAATTTTCTTAAACAACCTGAGGGTTCCCACGTACGAATCGGATGGAGTCAACCTCTTGGTTAGTGTGAAGAACAAGGTTTTTCTTTGCTTCTTCTGTATTTCCAAACTTTTGGGGAGTCTTTAGCTTTTCGTATGGATAGGCTAATTTCTGATTTTTAAGAATTTTTTCTATTGCGGCTAACATTTTGAGCCGTTGTTCTGCAGAACCGTAATGCTTTTTGTTTCGAATGCCCACGACTATAATTCCTATCAGTGCCTTGGTAGTATCACGAAGTCGAATCTATTGGAGTGGAGCACCGCATGAAACCATATATGTCTCCTGCAGACACTCAAGTTACTGAGGTTTCGGACAAAGTTCATGTGTAGGAATGTTAACTGCAACAAAAATCAGGAGCAACCTTGTTTAGACTCATCAATGACCGAGGACACTGAGTATACATGACGAGTTTGAATGAAGTAAGTTCCAAAAATGTTCCAGCTGTCGTTCAGTCATGTATTGGCTACAACAAACTATCCTATAGCTGGAGATCTTTGAAAGGAACGAAATTCCATGATGCAATAGGAAGGAGGTACCACTTCGGTGGATACAAGGTGCCTATGTTTTGACGTCTATTTTTTTAATCACTTGATTTTCTTTGTGTGGTATTGTATCCAGTATTTGTTGAATTAATTCTAGCGATATAAATGTATCAATATAGTTTGTAATCTTTATAAGAACGTTTTTAATTTTTAGAGGTTTATCGGCTCGTCATGGCATGGGTTATAGATTGTGAGGTTCACCTTAATCAATCCAACAAGGTCATCTAAACTAAGACGTTCGATACTGTGGTTCGGAAACCCAGCTGTGTAAATCAGTGTAAAGAATAACCGCTGTCGTAGTAAAAACCAAGTTACAAAGTGGCAAATCTCTATCATATCAGCAATGATCGACGATTATCAGTTCTCACGAGTAGAGAACATCGTAACGAGGATGCGCCTGGACTTGAAGGAAATCAAATGCCTCTATCAACAATTCTATCATACGATTGGTAGGTGAAGCAGCCGGTGAGTAACGATAAAGTGGTGGGTCTCATGTAATATACTCTTTTGATTCGTCTCAATAAAATCCATCGAGACGAATCAATCAAATCAAAGAACATACTCATGATATGCCACAGTGAGAGGCTTCAACATCGGAACATTGTTTTCGGGTGGCAATCTTCAGTGTTTATAATGGGCTTCAGATAACGTAGGGTCTCAAGTCATAGCTCCACAAGAGAAGGAAAGCAGGATGACCGATTTATGCCAACTTAACACTAGAAACTTCCCTTGCCATCAAGTAAGGTACCGATAGGGTGGGGAATTGCTATGGTCGTTTTGTTGAACAAGACATAAAACCTGACGGACGTTGACAAGCACTGTACAGTCTGCCTGTCTTCTGTTCTGTACAAGGTCTTCATTCGAGTCGAGTCGTAAACCGAGTAAGCAGATCCTTGGGCGAAAGGGCATTCAAGTGAGCAAGCATAGTTTCGAAGTGGATTTAACGCAATAGGCCACATCCACGCGCTATGGGAATCATCGAAGTCACAAGAGAGCAGAAGAAACCGCTCTGTCTCACTTTCATCGACTTAGAAAAGGCCATCAACTCAGTTGGAATAGAAGCTGTATTGGAAGGCCTGCAAAAGTAAGCGAACGATGTGATTGATAACACGGTCGAGGTCAATGAGAACTAGCTGGATTCTTCGCTATACTGGCGATAAAGTTCTTCAAAACGTCACGACTTTATGGATCACGCAGTAGGAACGAATTCTGACGCGAGTGAAGAACTTGGTCTTCAGCAAATCCCAAGGAAGATTCATGACAAACAGTTTTTTTCTGATGTTCATTTCACATCTATTGGGATGAACATCTATTGCTTAAGCTTTACGCATCTGGATTGAAAAGTAAGCATGACGATAAGCTTTACCGCAAAATCGAATAGGGATTGGCGACTCTGGGAGCCTAGGTGGTCATTCCGATGTTTCGATTTAGTTCATCTTTCAAGAATGAATTCAGTTAGCACCTCTGCGGCGTTCTTTTGTTTCATGGCTTGAATGAAGCATGGTAACGGTAAACATGGCAGTGGCGTGTGAGCAAACCGCTACAGTATGTACATATAACAATTCAAAACTATTATTATTATTATTATTATTGTTATTATCGTTATTGTTATTGCTGTTATTTTTACCGTTGATAACGATGATACATAATATTTCTTTATTTCTATAATAATAAAATCCAATTTAATACTGCAATGTTAAAAGTATTAGTGCAGGATATGTCGCAGGTAAACGGTGTGGCTTTCCGTCCACTGTTTTCTTGAGGTGACAACTTGGATAACACATAATATTGTCTTTCCAACAGTTATTTGAGAGTTCCCTAAATTGTTATAGTTTAGATGTTAACGAATCCTGTGTTGTTGTTTTTATATTGGATCTAACGCTGCTCGATGTAAGAAGGGCCCATTTTTCTCATCAAATTTAAATAATTAGAAGTACAGAATTTTAACAATAATTCATTGGTAGAATTGTTATTTTTGAGGTATATCTGATTCATGTTTAGGATTCATAGTTTGTCTGAGATATTTGTTGTGTTAGTGTCTTAATGGCGCGTGTAGTGCAGTGGTCGGAGGCACACTCATGGGATCGATTCGAGGGCCTGTTGCTCACCAAGTCTTCCATCTCTCCGGGGTTGGCAAATTGATACCAGCTTATCTGGATAGCAGCACTGGCTCGATACATTGGGTAGGTCGCGGCGAGTCATTGTAAAGGACAGATATGCATTCAGTCACCTCCAACGATACTTAACGAAGTCGAATGCATGGCGTATCTCTCAGGGATTGATCAACGCTGAGAGCTTTACCCTTTTTATCCTTTAGTGGCTTGATATTTCTGCTTAGGGTAATCATGTACGTGTTTTAAGGAACTTTTGTCTTGCCATCAGCATAAGTGCAGCTATTTCAGGAAGGGGACATACTAGGATGCCTAATTCATCTTCCGCACCATCCTTTTCATCCAGGTCCATCCCAGCGTTATTTGCCTCCTTCATATAAGGTGATGTTTCGGGCATATTTCCAGCTTTAATGAGGATTGGTACCATCATCAATTACTTTGTCCAGGATCTTCCTCTTATAAACTTCAAACACAACTACTTTTATGAAAGCCATGATGAAGTTTCGGATGTGCTTAAGTCACTGGAACCTTTGCAAGGAAGCAAGGTTGACGATTTTCGTTTTAATGACCTCTTGCAATTTGATCAGGCTGTTTTTCTTTTCAGATTGAGTTCTTCAAAAACGGCAAACCTTGCGGTGTTGCATTCACTGATATATACAGAGGTTTCTATCATCCAGCTATATCTATATATAAAAGTAAGTCTAGCTTTTATCACATGTGACAGCGTTTTTGCGTTAAAGTGGATCTGTTGTGAAATGATACTTAAATTAGGTGCACACTATTGCTTTTATTATCTTCATTTCTGTACGCTATGTCACTTATTAGAATAATACTTGCTTGGATACTTGGATGACGCGTCTTCAGTGGTTGTGCGGAACCCAGCATAACCTCCATTTTTCGGAGATTTACTGGTTAAGGTGATTGTGGTTCCCTGGAATTCCGAGGACAGCGTGGTCAAAGTCTGCCCCAGGTCTTCACCACCACGGGCAGTCGCAGCCTTTGTGGATCAGAGGGTGATTTGCCACCTTGCGACTTTGTTACCGGGACGGTATTGGATCCTGGTATTAGTTCACTCTTAGCTAGGCTTCACAATGGAAACGCCGGACTCCTCAGCTTGGGAGACCCTGCCGCGGAGACGTATTCCCTGCTGTGCATCGCAGTCCGACACCCAGGAATAGCTCCCAGCCACGATGAGGCGGTAAACTGTTGGGAGGGGTATTAGAATATTGGGTTTAGAGTACCAGTTTATGTATCTTTTGACACCCACAACCAATTTTGCGAGTGAATTTTAAATCCGACGTATACTTATAAGATTGTTGAGCCGTAGGAACTTTTTTAAATTGACTTTGGTATACTACTTCTGCTAATGTTCTTCACTTTATCTCCTTAGCACATTACTCTCGAACTATTTATTGGAAGAAGCTAGGTCTCAGTCTTAGTTTTGATTTTCAATGCTTCTTTTACAGATGCCACACTAAGGTGCAATTTTGGACCGCGATTGCAGCATTTGCCTGTTGGTGCATTACCGATGAGCGCCAGAGTTGAAGAACTCTATGTGGAACAAACCCTAAGTGAAGCGTTATACCTTGTCTGCCAAGGACACGTATAACTTCCATGATCTCATACTCATTTTTTTCCTTTTTGTTGTACATAAGGTTAAATTTGATTTCGGGAAATGCTTAGCTGTTTTTGCTAGACTTCATCGTTTTGTAAATAAACCTTATTGTGAATTGGGTTTATGAGTTACTAGTTCACAATGACGGATACTTAGTGCTTTTTTAAAATTATTATCTGTACTGCGATCTTCAGATGAAGGTCGTTCAAATTCTTGCTGTCATTCAGTGTATGCAATCCGTTCTTCGCGGGTTAACAGGAAAAATGATGCGAATAATACCAGTAAAAGCACTCGAGGACAACTACATGTATCTTGTGTACAGTGAGAAGGATCTCAACGGCTTTGCAGTGGATCCAGTAGAACCAAAAAAGATTAAAGGTGTTGCGGATAGCTGCAAGGTAGTCATACTGTTGCCGTTTTCATCTTTTCAAATATTCCTTGAAAACGTTCATTCATGTACACAAAGGTGTTGTCAGGTAGTCACTACGTAGGATTTACAGGCGTTCTCAAATGGTTATGAAATTGGTAAAGGGCTAAGCGCTAATAGATACGGATGTCACCATGCTTGTCGACATATTTGCGATGTTTTGAGTCACTTATGACTCACACAGGTGGCTTCAGATAAACATTTCAGCTTGGGTGGTATTTCGTTAATGGAACCGTCGTGATCATTAGGTCGAAGAGAGACAAGTTCTCCTACTCTCCCATGATGAGTCTTTGATTTTCTAAAGTCAGTGGACCATTTCTTTCCTGCTTTTTCTGGCGGAACTTTATTTTGAGTGTGGAGGCGGCTTACTAAAGAAGTGATATTTTATTTGCCAAAACGCTAAAATATCTACCAATGTATTGTTGATTTTTGCGGCTGGTGTTTCATGATTTAACCAAATTTTACAATTAGATTGAGGAGAGTTTAAAGTGGTAGTAATAGCCTTAGGAAATATGTGCACTGTCAAGTGTTCAGCGCAACGGCGTTAGTTATTTGAGAATTAACAAGTATCAAAATCTTATTTACGGCATGCTTGAACAACCCGTCCTCACTGGTTGTGCGGACTCCAGCATAATCTCCGTTTTTGGGAGATTTGCTGATTAAACCATTGTGGTTCCCCGGAATCCCTACGTCAGCCTGGCCGAAGCATGCCCCAGGTCTTCACCACCACAGGAAGTCGCAGCCCTTGTGGATCAGAGGGAGATTTGCCACCATGCGACCACGATACTAGGACGGTGGTGGACCCTGGTATGGTTTACTCGTACCTAGGCTTCCTGATGAAAACGCCGGACTAATTAGCTTGGGAGACCCTGCAAGAGGACGAATCCCTCGTACATCGCAGTCCGACACCCAGGAAAACCTCCCAGATATGATGAGGCGGTAAAGCGTTGGGAGGAGCATCAAAATCGACTAATCTATTGATCAACAACAAAATTCATGGGAACTTCTAGTAAGAAGTGCATCATCTGCTAAGTAAGTGTCTATGATTTTTGTGCTGGAATTCCGACTTAAGCAGGAGTAATGGTTACTTGTAATTCGACATCGTAAAACATATAACTTGGGAGTGTTGCGCAGTGGTCTGAGGCACCCTGCAATATACATGGGATCGATCCGCGCGCCCGGATTCACCAAGTCTACTATCTCTTCGGACTCGGCAAATTGGTACCATACTTATCTGGGAGAATAGCAGCATGGACTCGATACATCTGTAGGCCACCGCGAGTCATTGTAAAGGCCAGATATGCGTTCAGTCACCTCCGCCGATACTTAATGAAGTCGAATGCATGGCGCGTCCCTCAAGGATTGATAAACGCTGAGAGCATAATCCTTTATCCTTTTAAAATATGGAGTGTGCATATGATTGTAGCAACGTTCGCCTTAAATTTGCAGGTAACAGTTGCGGCGGCATTAGTTACACACCATCACTGGGATCACGCGGGAGGGATGAACGAATTCCGGAAGATATGGCCGGCAGAGGAAGCGGAAATTTATGGCGGTGATAATCGCATCGATCATCTCAGTAGGAAAGTCGAGCACGAAGAGAAATTCCACGTTGGTGAGATGGAGGTTAAACGATTAAATACTACTATTCATGTGCTAATAGTCGGTTGACGTTCACTATTTAGATAACTGCTCTGAAGACACCGTGCCACACGAAAGGTCATATTTGCTACTATGTCTCTCATCCTGGAGACAAACATCCGATCGTCCTTACTGGAGATACGCTCTTCATAGCAGGGTGCGGGAAATTTTTCGAGGGTGAGACATAGAGCTATTTTACTTGGGTATTAAATTGCGTCTTGTGCTACCCGTCGTTCAACTTGTTACTAGCAGATACTTCTTTCTAGAAGGTGATAATCTGTTATTGTGTTTCATTTCGATTTGTTTAATGTCTGACCTTCAGAAATATAGACAGGTTAACACTTTTCGCGAAAAAAGTGGATTTAACATGTAAGGAAGGGCCGTCTTCTTGACTTCGATCCGGGGAACATTAAAAGTAGGCCAATATTTAGCTTGTTGCTCTACAGGCTTGTACTTTTGCCAACGAATGCACCCATAAGAGCTCTCGTCATTGATTTTTTTGGAGATTATATGATTCTTTCTAAGGTAGCGCTGCAGAGATGCACCATAATTTAAACGAAATACTTGCAAAGCTACCGAACGACACCTACGTCTACCCAGGGCATGAATACACCTACAGTAATCTGAAATTCGCTCATCACATCGAGCCAAGTAATGAGGTGAGAATCCTGTACTAAATATTTATTGTCGAATAGACAAAGAGGTCTCGTGACGTCATCATTCTGTTAGAAATTCGAGCTACGTGGGTTTTTAAGCTGTGTGACTTACGTTTGTAGCAGCGGATTCGAAGTCAGTTATTGGTTTTATACCAAGATAAAGGATCTGCAGATTCCCAGACTTTCTATTCGTATCATATTTAATTTCATACATTTAGAATGTTAAACGTAAACTCGAATGGGCTGCACAGAAAAAAGCACAGAACATCCCCACGGTTCCTTCAACTATTGGAGAAGAAAAAGAGACGAATCCATTTATGAGAACGACTTCATCAGAAATTCAACAGAAAGTTGGTGCCACCGAACTTGTGACGGTGATGGATCGTGTGCGGGAAGCAAAAAACCGCTTTAAAGGCTGAAGATAATTTTCTAACCGAACTCATTCTAAGCGTTGTATCACCAGTAAGGTGTTTTACGTTTCGTTTTTCTGTTTGGTCCATCACTATAACGTTGTGGACTTCCTGTCGAATGCTTCATAGCTAGTTATTTTCATGTGTCACTTGTCTGTTATTAAAGTTTTTGGCTTGTTCTACTTCTTTGTAACAGGAGGGTCGGTCTCTGAGCAATACTGCACGTCATTTATTGGAAACCAGTTTTCTTTTCAGTGTAACTTAACATCAGAACCATGACCGAACCGAACCTGGTTGACGACGACTTGAGTCTTGCACGAGGAGCTGTCTTAGTCAATTCTTGTGAGGTGCTCATAGTTCATATCACTTATAATTTAGTGATGGATTAACTCTACTGGAGATTGTCGTAACTTTTCATTTACTCCCTACTCTTTTTTAAATGGCGGGGTATTGTGTGAAATATGATCATAATGATGCTGAGATATTTGCAAAACTCCAAACCGATGGTGTGTGCGGTGGGGAGCGAACATGCTACCACCCTTTCCGGGGCCTAACACGTTCACCACCACATCATGCGAGTTTTAATAACGTTAGCCCCCGGAAAGGGTAATAGCGTGTTCGGTCGCCACCGCACATACCATCGGCCTGAAGTTTTGCATATATCTCAGCATCATTATTATTATTATAATCTACTGGACATTGTTAGGGCTCTATGATCAAGTAAGTGGTAATTGAGGATGCGGTAATGCAATTCTTAGCCTATGAGTTTCTAATCGGTTAGGTGTTGGGAATGCTCAGACTTCTTCATTGAATCTTTGTTTATTGTAACTGCTTATTGGTGCTTTAGGTTTATTTTATGTGCTTTCTAGCTCTCTTTATTGTTGTTTGCTTGCTTCTAATACGCAGTCCTCATGAAATGCAAAGGCGAACCTCAAATGATCATTCAGGTGGACAACCGAGGTTATATAGCGGTATCACGGGGAAGTTTTGGTTTTGTTTTGTATCTTCCAGTAGATTTTTTGGTTTCATTTTCCCCTTTTGCTGTGGGAGCGTGTGCAGCTCGTCGTTAAGCTTTGTGTGCTCAAAGAAACTTCCGAACTTTGACGATTCGGTGTAATCGCTTTTTTCCTGGGTAGCTATCAAGTAAGTAAGAGCGGTGCGTACATCGCAGTGGTCGGAAAAGCCCTGCAACATATGGAATTAATCCCTAATTAATTAATTAATTACACATGGAATACACCTTTCTTCTAGGTTTTTCCTAAAAAACTTTGACCATCGTGTCGGTGGTCTTCCTGCAGTGCGTTTAACATCCCGAGGAATCCAATCACTAAAGGGTTTTGTCCATCAATTGTTATTCATACACATAACGTATCCGGCCCACCTTATCTTCGGCTGTTTGGCGTACAAAACGACATCTTTGATTTTCGATCGTTGACGCAGGTCAGGGCTTCCGATCCCTTCTCTTGTGTGGAACGGGATGCTTCTAGCATCGTCCTTTCGAGTGCGCGTTCCATAACACTGAGTGATCTTTCATCTTGCTTACACAGCGACCAGATTTCTGACGCGTACGTTAGGGCAGGAAGTACCGTTGAGTCGAAAAGGTGGGCACGGAGTCGGGTGTTCTTTGTTCTCTTCATTACATCCTCGATGCTCTTGAAAGCTCCACAAGCCGCTTGTTTCCTTCTATTCAACTCTGGAGCGAAGTCGTTCAACATGTTGATTTCCCGGTCTAAATAGACATAACTAGAGCATTCGGAGATATTCGTTCCGTTGAGCGTGAATGAGGCATACGAAACCAATTCGTTCCTCATAAATATCGTTTTTGTGAGATTTCGTCGAAGACCAATCTTTCCACAGGTTTTATCAAAGTCGGCAAGCAAACGGTCCGCTTGACTAATGTTCGGTGTTATAAGGATGATGCCATCAGCAAAGCGAAAATGGTGTAACTGCCGACCATCGATTTTCACTACCATATTATCCCATATCAATGTTCGCATGACGTTCTGGAGGGTGGCGGTGAATAATTTTGCGGAGACGGTATCGCCTTGCCTAACTCCTCTTTTGACGTCAATGTTAAAATCGTTGTAGAATGGTGATATCGTGGTTGTGAAATTTTTGCACAGCTCACGAAGACTATTTATGTACTGAGTAGGGGCCCCTTAACTAAGATAAAACGGTCTTTTGTACTCTCGGGAAACTCCAGTGAGTCTCGCTATCGTGTGGATGTGGTGCATCGTACTAAATCCTTTTTGAAACTCTGATTGCTCACATGGTTGTCCTTCATCAAATGTTCTGTCAATCCTGTTTAGGATTACTCGAGTGAAAAGCTTGTAGAGGAGAGACAGTAAGCAGACTGGGCAATAGTTGCCGATATCGCGTAGGTCACCCTTCTTGAACAATAACACGGTCTTGCTGGTGTTCCACTGAGTAGGGACCTTGCATTCAGACAGGTAACGTGTGAACAGCCGAGCCAATGTGTTTGCGAGGACTGGTGGAATGTTCTTCAGGTGTTCTGGTCTTATCCTGCCCGGACCTGTTCGATTTTTCACCGATGAAATGGCATGTCAGATTTCGGAAGGGAGAACCAGTCGTACAACATATCCATTCTCGAAAGCCCGACTTTCTATAAACCTCGGTATAGATAGTTGATATATTTATTTATGTGATCTTATAAACTGATCTTCTTAAGCTGACGCGAGGTTGGTACAGATCTTCGTTGTCGTTGTCGTTGTTTTTGATGTTATTGATCGATGGCTGACGTTTCGGCGACTTCGCCTTCCTCAGAGCCTGGACGTACTTTATGTTAGAATACTTTTTATTATTCGGTGGAAAAGAAGGTTAAAGTATTATTGAAGATCAAACTTTCAAATAGACGCCATATTGAACACTGTGCTGTTACGTGCGGGACTGGCCCACACGTAGTTCACGTGGAGTCGCGAGCAAGACACGCTCAGGGTTCAAAATATCATTTTGAAATAGGGCGCCAGGTCACGCGTGATAGTGAGGCATTCGTCCTTCCAGTTCATCTTTGGATTTTTGAAATTTATCCAAAACGCCTCGAGAGTTTTGCGCGTTGATGTTTTTTTGTCAGATTTCGGAAGGGAGAATTATAGAATTAGAGAAAGGGAGAAGAACTAATTATTATTTTAACCTTCTTTTCCACCGAATAATGAAAGTATTCTAACATAAAGTACGTCCAGGTTCTGAGGAAGGCGAAATCGCCGAAACGTCAGCCATCGATCAATAACATCAAAAACAACGACAACGACAACGAAGATCTGTACCAACCTCGCGTCAGCTTAAGAAGATCAGTTTATAAGATCACATAAATAAATATATCTATGCTTCTTTATTTCATATGACGGAAGGTGGACGTTGCTATCGAAAAGATCTGAGTAGCATTCGTAAATGATTTTCTCCATTGCCTTTTTGGACGATGTAACTGTTCTGTCTGAGCGCCGAAGAGCAATCGTTTTGGTCTTGTAATTGGCGAAGCTTCGGTGGGCTTTGCGAATGCTTTTCCCATCCTCTGCAGCTTCGGCCATAATTGCTGCTCTTCTCTCTCTAAGAACTTTTGTCGTCTGTTCGCATTGTTTAGCAAGATCGGAAGGGAGTTGGCGGTTGACTGCAGCTCGTACGATTCCACACTGTCGTATTATCAGCTCGAGTGTTTTTGGAGACAGACGTCTCCTGGTGACTTTCGAGCTGTCAGATTTCATAGCGCTAGCGTCAATATATTGAATGAGCCGATCGTATTCGTCGTCGATGTTATCGACAACGACATCTTCCCAACGGCCGATTAGTGAATTGAATAAGTCCCAGTTTATGGTGGTTCAGGGACTTCGTTTTTGAATTTAGCGGCTTTTTCTCCTTTCCGCGAGAAATATAATCCTGCACGAAGGAGACGGTGCTCGGATCCCGTGTAGAATTTTGTGACAACAGCGACATCGGTTAGGCAAAACCTACTTACTATAATGTGGTCTGTTTCGTTATGGTACACTCCGTTGGGGACTCCCACGTCCAGCGCTGAGGGTGGGGCTTCTGGAATTGCGAACTACCAATGGTTTTTTGGATGGTTCTGGTCGCCGTGATAAACTCAGAAAGCCGCGCACCCTGTTCGTTCCATTCCAATCCGTGGGTTCCACTGTGACGTTCTTCTTAGTCCAATCTTGGCGTTGAAACCTCCAGTGATGTTCTTGAAGAATGTATGGTTCTCTATATAGAACTTCTCCAAGTCCATATAGAACGCTTCGACTTCTTCGTCATAGCTTGATGCTGGCCCGTAAACGACGAAGACTGTCAAAGCTGGTATTAATCCACATCTTTGTAATCGTAAACGTCCGATTCGCGTTGTAAGCTGTTTGAATGAATCAGTGCTCATGGGAAAACTCTGCTATCGAGAACGCCGTCGCTGCCTACTTGTGTACTGTCGCATGTTCCGAGGAACAGTTCTTCTCTGGTATCATAAACGGCGTTGAATGGGTGGCGTCGTCTCGTCTCGGCCAAGCCGATGACGTCGCGCCTTATCCTTCTTGCTTGCATGGGCAAGTCTTCTATCGAGGACTCGGATGCAAGTGTGCGTACATTGCAGGTACAGATCGTCACCTTAGTTCTTTGTAATCCAGGCAGCTTCCATTGGCCTTGAGATTTTAGCAGCCTCTCCGTTCACCGTCCTGCCCAACGCTGCCGAATTGGTGGCTCTTTCGCGGTCAGGGGAATGAGGCCCATTTTTTCTTTACTGTTTTTAGTTTTTGATACCCACGTATAGCCTGTTGGGTTCCGAACGTGGGTGCTGGGTATGCTCACGGGTAGCTTGCCAGGCTCTCCCACAGTGAACATCGGGCTTATTTGTTGGAGGCGACTCCTAACAGCCTCCCATATACTTCCCAGTCACTTAATTGCAGGCTTTTGGCCAAATTGACTCGTGGAATACAATCCGCATAAGCGAGAACGCACCCACACACGCATGCATGAATACGCCTAGCGTGTACAGAAAGTATGTGCCAAATCGGCGCAGCAGAAACAGGATGTCCTTCCCATGGAACCACCTGCGTCTCAGGGAAGCAAAGGTCGCTTTTGGTTCGCCATTAGCCCCTCTCCGCCACCCGGGGACGCGCCACATAGCCCTGCGACTAACCGGCTCGAGACCCATCATATGAGGGAGACCTGTGGTCATATGAGAGAGAATCCCCGTGCCCCGCGCAGCATAGCCACCAAACCCTCCATTCCTCCAGGGTAGGCAAATTGGTACCAGGCTTGTCTGGTAAGATAGCAACACCTTCTTGATACATCGGTAAGCTACCGCGAGTCGTTGTAAAGGCCAGATATGCATTCATTCACCCCCAGCGATGCTTAAAGACGTCGAATGCATGATGCACCCCTCAGGCATTGATCAAAGCCGAGAGCTTTGTCCTTTATCCTTTATTCTTTAGCTTTAATCCTTTTTTAACTCAACTGATGAATACAGTATAGGTTTGTGAATATATTTGGAAAGGTGTAGAATCTCATCATGATTCACGCCTGTTATTCTTATGTACTCCAATGCACTTGTTTCTCTAGTATGCCCATGAAATCATTGGAAGAAATGGTTCAATGTTTCTTAGCTCACTATTTAGAGTCACATTATACGTATAAGTTTTGTCTGACATTCAACATAAAGCAATCTATTGTATAAAGAGCAGAAACGGATAAGCTAATTCTGCGGCTTATACGTTCGCGAACATATATTGTTGTTCATACGTGGTCGAAAATATTTTTACATTCCACTTTTAAATTGAGATATTTGAGCTTCTAGTTAAAAAAAGCTCTCGGCGCTGATCAATACGTAAGGGGTGGGCCATGCGTTCGACTTCATTAAGCATCGTTTGGAGGTGATTGAATGCATATCTGGCCTTTACAATGACTCGCGGTGGCCTACCGATATATCGAGTCAGTGCTGCTATCCTCCCAGACCAATCTGGTACCAAGTTGCCGATCCCGGAAGGATGGAGGGCTTGGTGGGCTATGGACCCGGGATCGATTCCACGTATGTGTTACAGGGCGCCTCCGACCACTGCGTCACACGCGCTCAAGCTCGTAGTTAATTTTATTAATTAGGTATGTAGTTTTCTTATAGGTTCTCATACTCTGTCGAATAGCGTTGTAGGGGTTCCCATGTATGCGGATTCTGTCCTGCGCGTCAGTTCGAGGATAAACCTGCAGTAAAGCGACTGGGAAATGCGCTAGAGGTGGTTTGGAATCGCTTTCAACGAAATAAGCTCCACTTCTACTTTGGCAAGCTATCCGTGAGTATTTGACCTCCTCATTCTCGTCACGCTATTCATAGGTACTGTTCCTCGAACAATAGACAGGAGTTTCTAGCACTGGTCTTCTCATCAAGAGTAGGTTGGTGGTAAATATCGACTTCTTTGAGCAGCTAAAGGTTCCGGTCGGACGCTTGCGTTAGAAACGTGTAGGCCATTACGGGTCTCTGACATTTTTCGCTACGCACTCACATCAAGCTGCGACGAAGGCGATATCGAAGTTTTCTCTAAGGAATTGGAAAGATGGAAATCACACCCATATGGCCATCAGTGGGGATCTTGATGTTGGGACTGGGTCCGGGGAGGCGTCTGGTGATGGCGTCGCCGGTTGACGCTGGTGACAGAGGGACTGGGGTGGGACGAGCGAGGCGAGGGGCGTTTTTTATCTTCAGCTTTCCTTCTTTTTTCACTAAGACCTTGCATAATAGCTCATAAAATGGGGCTGGATATCATAGGAGCGAGTATAAGTGCATCGTATTCGAACTCGCTTTGCTTTGGTAATGAAACGTTGTAATGTTAGCAACATATGTGGTCAGTTGTTTATTTACTGTCTATTCTTTTTCATGGCAGGGTGTGATGTGAAATATAACTACAGTAATGGTGAAATATTTGCAAAACTTGGGACTGTAGGTGTCCACGGTGAAGATCGAACAATCCGCTGAGAGAAAGGTGAAACAAAGGACCTGCATGGTGTAGTGGTGAACGCGTTAGTCCCCGGAAAGGGTAATAACGAGTTCGATTCTCAACACAGACATCTGATGTCCTGAGTTTCGCAAATATCTCACCAACAATAAATTGCGTAGTTTTCCCTTACGGCAAGAACGGTGATTGCATGAGTTTAGGTACGATATACCTGATCGCTTGTAATAATTGCGGAGATGAATATATTGGCCAAACGGGCAGATCTTTGTGTATCCGTATAAAAGAGCACCTAGATGGCAAACGAAAACTAAGACGAAGCACCCCACTAGGCACGCATAGGATACAAAAGCATAGCGGAGACGATTTTGAAGTAAAAGTCAATATCCTTGCACAGGAGTCCAAAACACCAGCGCGGAAACTCCTAGAGGCTTTTTGGATCAATGCCAAAACCCTACAATGAATAGCAGGGTTGAATGCCCAGAGGTCATACGCGACCTCATCCCGTACGTTCGCATCGATTTTTGATGTGGGATGGTGCAGTCGTCAACCACATGTGACTATAATCAGCTGTTCTAAACTTCCTCATTGGAAGTCACAAAAAAGCGGTGGGTTTTTCGAGAAGTTGTTGATCGTGTAATTACCAAAGAGCCTTTCGTCTTTGTGTAAGTGTTATTGAAGCGTTTGGCCTAGTAGATTGTATATCAGTATACCCTTCCAGGCTCTGAAGAAGGCGATACTGCCGAAACGTCAGCTAGCGTTGTATTGTATTGTGTTTTTATGGAAGTAAATGTATGCTGTTTAAAAACCTCGCGATTGCTGAACAAGAAAACGACACATTCATATCTCACCATTATTATAGTTAATAACACGATTTTAATGTTAAACACTAGGGAAGGAATGCAGGTTGATTTTGAAGCGTTTGTGGGAACCTTGGATTAGATCTTAAGAAAACCATGTTTGTGGAGAACGGATGCGTTGCTGATGACCCTTTCATGCTAAATGGAACCCGTATTTCTGTATACCGTAGGCAGTGTTTTATGAGCTAATCCAGCTTCCCAACCTACATTGGCGATCGAAGGTCATAGACGATAACGTACGCATGTGGTGTCGAAATATGTCAAAAATTAGGTGAGCAGGGTATATTGTGCGTCTTAACTATAACCTGGCGACAGATCATTAGAGACTGGTGCGATAGGATGTCAAGCACGCACCAAGAAGACCACCATCCTAGTTATCAGACTTCTATAAGAAGATCCTAGAACTAAAATATGGATAGATTCTGAGTCACTGGACAATGCGGTACCCACTGCATCACTCTTGGACGTTGCAAAGACTAGTGGACACTTTTCTGGCGCCCACTCAGGTCACTGGGCTAGTGAAGAGGAAGCCTTGGAGCTATAGGTCGAAAACTCCTGCATAACTTTCTTCTCTACTATATAAGTCTTTTTATGTCCTGAGAGCCATAAGTACTATCGTTATCGAAAAATTATTTTAAGATTTCGAAAAACCCGACGGTCACAGATATGCTTGGGTAGGAGAGAATTTACTGAGTAATCAGGGTAACGCTATTCCAAAACAAGGAGAGCATACGATAATGTAGAACTTTTAGGTTGTATTTTAAAAATCACGAGCTTGATAGTTTAGGTACCTCAAGATGCCAGGGTAATTCGTGGTTACGATTTCAATCAAGGGATTCATTTTTCGGAATTGATGGACTCCTATTTGTCAACTGGCTTTCAAGCGACTCATCTTGGGAAAGCTATCAAGGTTTCTTTGCATGCTCATCCGCTTTTGCGTCTAATGTTGAAAGAGAAGTTGTTATTAATTTTTAGGAAGTTAATGCAATGTTGGACGAACGCAGCAAGCCGAATATTGATGGTGATCAGGAGAAATTCTTCCCATACCCTAAAGAGCGACGTATTTTACATTGTACGATATTTCTTGGCTTCACTTCGAATCTTGTTAGCAGTGGACTTAGAGAGGTAGAAGTAAACCAGTTATATCTTCAAGGCGGAATCCAGACAATAGGATGCTTTTACGTGTTTGTATCTACAATAAGTAGTTCACATGAATAGGAATCCATATTTGATGATTTTCAATCCTTCGGATATCCATTCACATTCAGTTAAATTCCACTGTTAAGATGAATCGTGATGGTAGTGTAGGGCTCTGTGTTGCTATATTTTTTGAAATATACTTACTTGGATACTTGGATGGCCCATCTTCACAGGTTGTGCGAGTTCCCGCACAACTTCGATTTTGTTGGAGTTTTGCTGGTTTAGCCACTGCGGTTTCCTGGAGTCCTGAGGTCAGCATAGCCAAAGTTTGGTCCAGGTTGTCATCACCACAGGTAGTCGCCGCCCTTGTGGATCAGAAGGAAAGTTACCACCATGCGATTAGTTTGATCACAAGACGGTGGTGCATCCCAGTATTGGTTTACTCTTAGCTGGACTTCTTGATGGATACCCCGAACTCCTTCTCAACTTGGGAGGCCTAGTTGGGGGCAAATCACCCACCGTACATCGCAGCTAGACACCCAGGAACACTTCCCAGCCACGATGAGGTGTAAACCGTTGGGAGGATTTTTTTACACTTTTTGAAATATGCATTGGTTAAGTTTGACGTGGGGGTTTGGTATATGTTTCAGTCGTAGTTCAAGATCTTTTTACCGTTGCAAATAACATTTGTCATATTACTCTAGTAATGACGTTATCGGACTTGTTTTAACTCATTTCTATGATAACTGTGCTCAAGGTATGGTTTTGTAATCCATATTTCGTTTGAATATAAATACAAATATCTATTTAAAAAAATCTTCCAAAATTCACTACCCTTTGCTGTAGTTTATTAGTAGCGTTTCAACTGTTTCTGCATTTATTTATATGATCTTATAAACTGATCTTCTTTAGATGGTGCGAAGTTGGTATAAGTCTTCGTTGTCGTTGTTGTTGGTGTTGTTGGTTGATGGCTGACGTTTCGGCGATTTCGCCTTCCTCAGAGCCGTAATGTTACGAGTGGGACAACGACAACGAAGACCTATGCCAACCTCGCATCAGCTAAAGAAGATCAGTTTATAAAATCATGTAAATAAATATATCAACTATTTACGCCGAGGTTTATAGAAAGTCGGTTTTTTGAGTGTTTCTGCATTTTTCCAGTTTCATAAAATGACTGCTGCTGTTAATAGCGATTTAAATTGAGATAACACCGAAATACGAGTCAAATTACGGGTCTCTTTCCGAAATAGGTTTTTTTTTGCGGAATATTAAGTATATGCTCCTGTACTACATTGATTTGCTTTTGAAAAGGAATAGACTGAATGCAGTAAATATGGCAAAATGACTTTGAAACGAAGTAACTCGCCAAAACTGTGTATTCTATAGAATCGCGTAGTCCACTCTGATCTACTCCGAGCGCTTGCCTAGAATGCGCTTCGTCCGTTAAGTGTTAATACCTCTTAACCAAATGCTTTATAGTTGAGGTAATACATCGTAGAGCCGCCACACTGTTTGAAACGTTTTTTATAAGGTACTTCGATTTGTTGTGGAACATGATTTTGTTGATTGTGTGGTGACAAGTGCTGGTGGAGTAGAGGAAGATCTTATCAAATGCTTGTTACCTTCATATCTTGGCGATTTCAATATGGATGGGAAGCAGTTGCGGTTTGTTTTTCCTTGATTTTCCTATGTTTCTGACAATGTGTTACATCCATGGAGAGTTTCGGAAGATAAAAAAATTTTCTTTATCGATTATCTCTTTAAGTGATTGTGTAGACTTGTTTCGCACTGTAGGCATCAGTAGATTTATGAACAAAGCAATATATCGACAGTATTTTCATGATACTGACCAAATTCGTTTGGTTGTACCATACTATGCTTCAAATTCCAGCATGTTTTGGAATTTAGTCACTGCAACTTTTTACTGTCACCTTAGTGACCTCAGTCGAAGTTGTTACTACATCGTTTATTCGGAGTAGTTGACGTTTCGGTGATTTTGCCTTCTTCAGATCCTGGAATAGTCAAACTGGCACGCAATCTAATTAATCATGCACTTTCATAACCTCAACAGATGAAACTTGATACATGAGTTTTTCTTTATTCGAATAATTAACAGCTTCTTTCAAACACTCATCGTTTTGTAGTTTGAGGCCCCAGTCATTGTTGGAAGCCAGCCGCACAAAGTCCTACATGGATGAAAAGCGTGCCAAGCTCAGGTGAACAATCATCCTGAGGTATGGAGCGAGGTCACGCATGTCCACAATGCGCTCCCCTGCGGTCTAATTTTGGGATTTTAGAAGTGTCAGCTGTTGTGGATAAGTAGTGTAATAGCAACCTGTTGTCTGCTTACATGAAAGCAGTGAATTATTGATCAGTGCTGGGGTTAATACAAGCTCGGTCCTGGACGTTACTGTACTTTTTTAGTTTCAGCGGCTTTAATTCCATGAAATTGCAGACTTGGTGAATATTTCGTCTTTAACAACAAGTTTTTACACTCCTTGTACATCCACGTCTTCCATTTTTCAGTTCTCGAGGATTGAATCGTGCGGGAAATATACTTATCCCCAATGACAACTATTGTGCTTTCGAGGACTGGCTTTCACCAATTCTTGATAAGTGCCTAGAAGAACAAGAGACGGACGGTGTTAACTGGACACCCTCTAAACTCATTCGAAGGTGAGTTCATGTAGTCGTCGATTATTCATAGAGAATGATCTTATTTGAATCCAAAGAAGTTCGATTAATTGGAAGACAGTTACAATTCCTATGCAAAAAAATAAATGGAGCCCGAAGTGACTCGCATGGATGAGGTTACTTGACTTCTGATTTTGAAGGTTGGGTGAGAAAATCGGCAATGAGGATTCTATACTACATTGGGCTGCTCGCAATAATATTCCAGTGTTCTGTCCGGCTTTAACTGATGGTAGTCTTGGAGATATGCTCTATTTCCACTCGCTGAAGAACTCACCTGGAATTCGCCTCGACATTGTAGAAGTGGGGTTTTATTAAAGCTTTGATTCCATTCAGTTCTTCGATAAATAGTTGTCAATTTGATAAACTGTGAGGAAGCCATAAATTTTTTTTCAAAGTAAAATCAAACAAATCTCCATCATTGGAGTGGTGATTTGTTTTGATCCTGTTAAGGATGAAATGTAATTTTATAATTCTGAGAAATGAAAACTATGTCTTGAAAAATTCAAAGGCCAGGATCTGCGTTGTATCAATACGATGGCGGTGAAGAGCAAGAGTACTGGCACATTAATTCTGGGAGGAGGAGTGGTTAAACACCACATCAACAACGCAAATCTGATGAGGAACGGATCTGACTTCACCGTCTATATTAATACTGGAACGGTGAGAAATTACCTAAAGATGTCTCATCCTTTACTTACTGCCTATTCTTTTTCCATGACAAGGTATAATGTGAAGTAAAACCCCAAAGATGCTGAGATATGAACAAAACTCGGAGACTCACTTGGGCTTTGGACCCACGATTACCATTAGCGGGGGCTCATGTGCTATCACTAAGCTAGCCGCGGCCCTTGCTTTGCCTTTCTACCTGTAATTTTTTTACTCTATCGTTGCTCTCAGCAATCACTTGACAGTGGGAACCTGTAGCATGGAAATGTTCAAGAAGTTGTTAGTCAACTGTTACAACTCAATGATGTGATGTCGCCCAATGTTAGTCACTGCGAATTGAACCATATTTATTATGTGATGACGACTGGTAGCAACGAATGAGTCAGTGCTGCTTTTTTGTTGCTGTTTACCTTATTTTGTTTGGTTTGGTTGCAGGAGTTCGATGGTTCTGATTCTGGTGCAGAGCCGGACGAAGCAGTGAGCTGGGGGAAGGTGGTTTTTCTATATTCGCTTAATGCAGGCAGAAATCAGATTTAATGGGTTTTGGGGTAATACTGAATTGAGTTTTTTGGAAATTTTAACTTTTTGCAAGAAAAGTTTTAGTGATAGCTAACAAATAGAAAGGAGCTGTATAAGAGATCATTCTAGGTTTTTTTTCATGCTTTTCCGTTATTTAAATATATTATCTTGTTGTTTGTTTGGAGATTTTGTAAATTTTCCAAAAAAAACCCGATATGCCATTCGACAATCCTTTCCTTCCTTTATAAGACTATTTTCTTCTTTTATATCTCCAACATTTATTGTCAGCTGTCTTGGAAAACTTCGGTTTCTTGTGTATAAATAACGATAAAGCTCCTCTCGACATTGATACATCCCTAATGGAAGTGCTATGCTTTCGGCTTTATTAAGCATCGCTAGAAGAGCATCGTGTGCATATTTGGCCTGTACAGTGACTCGCAGTGGCCTATCTATGTATCAGTTCAGTGTTTTTCGGCGATCTACCAGTGTATTGTGTTAGTGCTGCGGTCCTCCCAGATAACTCTGTTGCCACTTTGCCCACTTCAAAGTGGTGGAATGCTTGGTGGGCTCGTGCAGCACGACTAAAACAACGACCAGCGCCTGCAGGCGCTTCCTGCTTCTTGTGTATACTTAGCTCTATAATACGCTATCTGGTTTTCATGTCTCTTTAGATAAGTGTCATTTAAAGCATTTGTCATCTGTATGAGCTCGCTGAGTCGTTTTTGATATGATTGTTAAAAGACGCATGGACAGCATCGCTTACATATTATTAGTGGTATTTTCGTATGCAGTTCATTGCCATTTGGAGATAGGTTTAGTTACATGCTTACAGATCTAGCTGTTGGCATACACATTTATGACGGCGTGTTTTCGGGAATTGCTAAGTGCCACATAGTACCGCTGCGTCTTCCATATTTTCTTTTTGGCTAAATAATAGTTTTGGTCACGAAATCTAAAGTAGAAGAGAGGAAGTGGTGCTTGACGAACACGATGGCAGTGTGGGTTGCCAAGCAGGTTCAGCCTCTTAGTGTGCTTTGAAAACAGTGCAGACATCGCCTATTAAGCTTTAACATTTCATTACAGGGGTGCAATTTACGCGACGATCAAATGTTGTACTCTCTCCTTGCTGACATTTCCGTTAGAAAAATTCTATTTTTGTCGAGGTGTGGTTTTTGGAGTAGTTTATCTGTATCACCTGCAGTAGCGTTGTTGGTCGAGTGATTCGAGCGGGCGCCAGTAAATTTTCTATTTTTCCGTGTCGCGTGCTAGAATAGCCCAGTGGGTTCTGTTCGTTCTAGGGAGCATCACACCTTTCTTCTAGGTTTTTCCTGGAAAACTTTGACCATCGTGTCGGTGGTCTTCCTGCAGTGCGTTTAACATCCCGAGGGATCCAATCACTAAAGGGTTTTGTCCATCGATTGTTATTCATACACATAACGTATCCGGCCCACCTTATCTTCGGCTGTTTGGCGTACAAAACGACATCTTTGATTTTCGGTCGTTGACGCAGGTCAGGGCTTCCGATCCCTTCTCTTGTGTGGAACGGGATGCTTCTAGCACCGTCCTTTCGAGTGCGCGTTCCATAACACTGAGTGATCTTTCATCTTGCTTACACAGCGACCAGATTTCTGACGCGTACGTTAGGGCAGGAAGTACCGTTGAGTCGAAAAGGTGGGCACGGAGTCGGGTGTTCTTTGTTCTCTTCATTACATCCTCGATGCTCTTGAAAGCTCCACAAGCCGCTTGTTTCCTTCTATTCAACTCTGGAGCGAAGTCGTTCAACATGTTGATTTCCCGGTCTAAATAGACATAACTAGAGCATTCGGAGATATTCGTTCCGTTGAGCGTGAATGAGGCATACGAAACCAATTCGTTCCTCATAAATATCGTTTTTGTGAGATTTCGTCGAAGACCAATCTTTCCACAGGTTTTATCAAAGTCGGCAAGCAAACGGTCCGCTTGACTAATGTTCGGTGTTATAACGATGATGCCATCAGCAAAGCAAAGATGGTATGATTGCCGATCGTCGATTTTCACTCCTATGTTGTCACATTCCAATGTTCGCATGACGTTCTCGAGAGTGGCGGTAAATAGCTTTGGCCAGTTGGCATCGCCTTGCCTAACCCCTCTTCTGACATCGATGTTAATGTCGCTGTAGAATGGTGATATCTTGGTTTTGAAATATTGTACAACTCACGAAGATTTTTTTTACTGAGTAAGGACTCTTTGACTATCAAAGGCTTCCATGACTGCTTCTGCCTCAGTTGAGATAAAGGCCTTCTTTAAATCGATGAGAGCAAGACAACGGTCTCTTGTACTCTCGCGGTGCTCCAATGAGTCTCGTTATCGTGTGGATGTGGTCCATCGTATTAAATCCTCTTAGAAACCCTGCTTGCTCACATAGCTGCCCTTCGTCCAGTGTTCAAGCCTGTTCAGGATGACTCAAGTGAAAAATTTGTAGAAGATAGACAGCAAGCAGGTAGGGCGATAGTTGCCGATATCGTGGAGGTTACTCTTTTTGAACATAAGCACGGTCTTGCTGGTCTTCTATTGAGTAGGGACCTTGTATTCAGACAGCTAACGTGTGAAGACCAGAGCCAGTGAGTTTACTAGGACTGGCGGAAGGTTCTTCAGGTGTTCAGATCTTAGTCTGTCCGGACCTGGTGCTGTTCGATTTTTCACTAACGAAAAAGCATATCGGATTTTGGAAATGGGAACCGACGGTACAACATATCCATCCTCAATATATCCAACATATTATTTCATATGAGGGAAGGTGGACGTTGCTGTCGAAGAGATCTGAGTAGTATTTGTGAATGATTTTCTCCGTTGCATCTCTAAACGCTGTAACTATTCCGTTTGGGTGTCGGAGTGCAATCATCTCGGTCTTGTAATTGGCGAAGGTTCAGTGGACTTTGCGAATGCTTTTCTCAGCCTCTGCAGCTTCGACCTTTACTGCTGCCGTTCTCTCTTTAAGATCTTTTTTTATCGCCTGTCTGCATTGTTTTGCAAATTCGGACGTTAGTTCGCGGTTGCCTGGAGCGCGTGCGATTCCACGCTCGCGTATCAGTTCAAGTGTTTCTGGAGACATACGTCTCTTGGTGACTTTCGAACTCTCAGCTTTCATGACGCTAACGTGTAGATGTTGAATGAGCCGATCGTATTCTTCGTCGATGTTATCGACAAATGCATCTTCCCAACAGTCGACTAATGAATTAAATAACTCCCGGTTTATGGTGGTTTTGGGACCTCGTTTTTTGAATTCATCGGCTTTTTCTTCTTTCTGCGAGATGTGGAGTCTTTCACGAAGCAGGCGGTGCTCGGATCCCGCGTAGAATTTTGGGACAACAGCAAAACCTTCTATTTACTATGTCGTCTACTTCGTTATGGTACTCCCCATTGGGAGACTCCCACGTGAAGCGCTGAAGGTGGGGCTCCTGGAATTGCGAGTTACCATGGATTGTCTTGGTCGCCATGATAAGCTCAGACAGCCGCTCACCGTGTTCGTTCCACTCTAGTGGGTCTCATTGTGACATTCTTCAAACGTTCTTCTTGGTTCAGTCTTGGCGTTAAAATCTCCAAGCTCATAGTTTGAAGAATGTATGGTCTTCTCTGTAGAACTTCTCCAAGTCCATATAGAGCGCTTCGACTTCTGCATCGTCATAGTTTGATGTCGACGCGTAAACGGCGAACATTGTCAAAGACGGTATTGATCCACATCTTTTTAATCGTAAACGTCCGATTCGGTTTGTAAGCTGTTCGAATGAATCGGTGCTCATGGACAAACTCTGCTATCGAGAACGCCTTCGCTGCCTACTTCTGTACTGTCGCATGTTCCGAGGAACAGTTCTTCTCCGGTGTCATAGACGACGTTGAAAGGCTGGCGTCTTCTCGTCTCGGCCAGGCCGATGACGTCGTACCTTATCCTTTTCGCTTGCATGATCAGTTCCTCTATAGAGGACTCGGAGGCAAGTTTACGTGCATTGTAGGTACAGTTGATCGCTTTAGTTCTTTGAGATCCAGGCAGATTCCATCTCCTACCTAACGCTGCCGAATTGGGGGCTCTTTCGGGTTTACGGCAATGAAGCCCGTTTCTTTTACTGCTTTTAGCTTTTTTGATACCCACGTATAGGTTCTTTTTTCTGGGTTCTGAACGTGGGTGCTGGGTATGCTCACGGGTAGCTTGCCAGGCTCTCCCAGAGTGGACATGGAGCTTATTCGTTGGAGGCGACTCCTAACAGCCTTCCATATACTTCTCAGTCACTTGATTGCAGGCTTTTGGCCGAATTGACTCGTAGAATACAATCTGCATAAGCGAGAACGCACCCACACACGCATGCATGAATACGCCTAGCGTGTACAGAAAGTATGTGCCAAATCGGCTCGGCAGAAGCAGGATGTCCTTCCCTGGATCCATCTGCGTTTCAGGGAAACATACGGTCGCTTTTGGTCCGCGATTAACCTCCTGTCCACCAACTGCAGGTGCGCCACATGGCTTCGTGATTAACTGGCTCGAGATCTCTTATATAAGGGAGATCTGTGGGTTTGAAGTAGTTACTGTTTGGAAACGTGTTTCGCTGCATTTTCCGGCATAGGTTTACTATTGTACTGACTGGGGTTCTAGATGGAAATGTTGAACTCTTTGGCTTGCGGACTTTGCCGAGAGATTAATACTGTGCTGTACATCATAATCGAACATCGAACGGAATCCATTGAGGAGATGTGCAAAATTTGCTTCAATTCGGCCTCTCTACAGTGCGATCTTCATGGGCTCGATAGATGTCATCGCATATATGTGTTTATGGGCAGTTGTGTTTTCGTTTGGCTTTTTATGTTGTTTTTGTTTTCGTTCTAATGTTTTAACCATAATTCATCTGTTGATGTTGACTATCAAGAACAGATGACTTCTGCGAGGATATTAATTTTTGTAGTAATTATAAAACTCCAAAAAAATTGCGCAATTAATCGGCAACACCAGAGGCGACCATAGTGCAAGTGTTGGACCACCGTAGCCGTCATTGTGTTGATTGCGAAAACTAGCATAAAATCATTGCGAAGCAAGCCAAATGGCTACAAGTAAGTTGTATTGTCTCTCGTAGAAAATACCTGTGCGACTTATTGGTTGCGGATATTGTCCACACTGACGTGCACATATGACGTACCGGTGGTTTATTTGTTTCATACTGACAGACGCGTCTGGGTCACTGGTGATATGGAGTAAATTGAGGGTGTAAGTGCGTCCTGACAACCAGTGGTTCCTTGGACGGTTGTGTGTATGCTAAGGATTGTTGTTAATGCAAAGCATTTTGTATTCAGGTGAAGCCTGGTTCCCATGCTGTTAAAGTATGTTCCGACGCTACATTGGTGTTTCCGCTTCTCGTGGCTGAGACGTTCGCTCGACGAATCCACGTGAAAACGTAGCCATCAATTTTTCGTTGTTGATTTCATTGTTTTTATTTATTGTTTGTTCTAGAACTAGAACTAGAAAAGACTAGAACTAAGAAGAATCTTGTAGAGATATTGCGTTTATTCTCTATGAACTTAGAACAGCCTTCCGATATCTTCAAGCTGCTTGAATTGACCTATACGTAGGAAGCCGAAGAAAAAAAGTCATATACTGGCGAAGTCTTATAGCATTCTATTTTTCAGTTACCGTTATTTCAAGAAAACAATTGTTTAAAGATCTTTTCGCTTTAAACCTCGTTTTCATTTTCTATCTGGAACACTACTTGCTGATTTGTTTGTGTGGGACAAGGTTTATGTCCACTTTATGCTTGTTATAATGAAATATCAAATTTTGTACTGTCTCTAGAGAAAATCACGACCATTGAGCATTTGACACGTTATAAAGTTAGAAAAGCAATAGTAATTTTTTTGAAACATATGACGTGGTTCATTTCTGCATTCCGTATAGAATTCTATTAACCACACATCTTGTTTTGATGAAGAACATGGGCGCTACGATTTCTGACCAGCTGTTAATCTACTGTTTTTGTTAGCGAAGATCACCTACTCAATACAGAAAGGCTTTGTCGGCTTTCTTTGTCAGTACGTCAATTCCACTTTGCGCTATAGATACGACAGATAAAGGATAAGCGATAAAGCTCTCGGCGTTGATCAATCCTTAGAGGATACACCATGCATTCGACTTCATTAAGTATCGGTGGAGGAGATGGAAGGCATATCTGGTCTTTACAATGACTCGCGGTGGCATTAAGATGTATCGAGCCAGTGCTGCTGTCCTCTCAGACAAGTCTGGTACCAATTCGCCGACCCCGGAGAGATGGAGGGCTCAGTGGGCCATGGGTGAGGGGATCGATTCCACGTGTGCATCGCAGTAGCGCCGCCAACCACTGCGCCCACATGCGCCCGGATACGATAGATAGGACGACAGTTCCGTTGTTGTTTCCATTGCAGTTTATCCCAAGAATACGAACCTTTCACCGTGACTTTATTATAGGAGACTTATCATAGGAGGTGAGCAGAAAAGAGGTGGCCACAATGTTATTGAATTTGTGGCTGGTGTGTTGTGGGGTTATCGCTTTCCTGGTGGAAGAAGAAGGGCGGACTGGTTCTTCTTGCCCGACAGTGAGTTGCTGCATGTGTTATGAGTGGCGCTCGTTCTTTAAACATTATCAGTTTTTAGAATATTTGGGCTAAATCATCTTGTCAAAGTGTCTCAATATTCAGAAAATGTCAATTTTACTAATGCGAAAACAGAGATACCATCCTTTTGATGGATGCTCACTGTTTAGATCTGAACAGTAGGGATGGAGTTAGTACTATGTCTAATATGTGATATAATAATAGAAATAGCTGGTCTGTCTGATTGTCCCAGCAGTATGCCTAACGTCGCGTTGGCGTAGAAGGTGGGTGTGGTGCATTGGATGATTAAAAGATGACGATGCATGGGGTATTTTACGATTTTGTGTGTAAATATGAAACTCCGACGCAAGTGCAGAGGCAACAATAGCAATTGAAGATCGGAACGATTTTCCGCCAACCAACGAGCAGTTCGTCTTTGGCGTACTGTATTGGGGTGGCATTGTTTATTGATCCAAGAGAATTTACATGATCATGAAAGTGCAGTCGGTTATATAAGTACAACTTTCTGGAAGTTGGTATGAGATACAGTTGGCGAGAAGTCAGGGATGTCGTGCATTGTAAATGAGTCGTAAGCAACACAGGTGGTGGTTTTATCCGCTTCGAGTGCACCAAGCCTCCCATTCCTACGGAGTCGGGAAATTGGTACCAGATTTTTGTGAATCTTTTGAGGGACAAGCTCAGCACCTCTACGAAAATCGACAAGATTATCTGACCAGTGACTATCGTAGGCAACGCTTGTTAAATGGTATCAAAACTGTATTGAATGCGCATCATTTTTCAATCAGATGGTTGGATTGCATTTCGACCCGCACCAAGAAATTGCTTGTTGCAGGAAAAAATTTGAGCGTAGAAGGGTGGCTTCAGGACATACTTGCAGAAGCTGTTAAAATGGAAGAGAAGTTCGAAGAGACCAATCTGTATAGCCGAGGCAAGGCACTTCACGATGTGTCGTGTGACGCTATCGGAGCTACCGGAGTAGGAAGCGGTTTTTCTCACTTCTAGTAAACAGTAGTCGAGATAATTTATTTGAGCACTTCGTTTTTCCAATATATGCATTGTCTTGATTTCTGCTTTTTGAACTCTGGTGATATAAAACAAATTTCGCCACCCCCACACCACCTTGAAAGGAGAGGAGCTCAATACGGCTGGTAATTGTAAACTCGCAAAACAAAGTTCTTTTGATTCGGCAAAAGAACGAATCTGCACTGATGAGAGATTGAAGTCTCTGCTGAGATATTTGCAAGACTCCGAACTGCAGCTGTCTGCGGTGGTAATGGAATACATTAATTACCTTTTCCGTGTGTGGTGGTGAACTCGTTAGCCTCCGAAAGGGTAATATCGTGCTCGATCCTTCGCGCAGACACCTCCGGAGTTTTGCACATGCCTTACCACCATTGTGGTTATGTTTCACATCACACCCTGCCATGAAAAAAGAATAGGCAGCGAATAAAAATTGATGTACTAAAATCTTTCTTATGCCGACGATGTTATCGCAATTCGGAAAAGTTGTTCAAAGAACGATCAAACGATAAGCGGAAAATAGTCTCGTGAATATCTAAGAAATCCATGAATGTAGCTCCAAGCTTCCAAGTAGACTAAGTATACTTTCTGTTCCAGGAAATCTAACCTGGTTTTAAAGCCGATCTTCTATAGTGTACAAGTGATTGAGCTGGTAAATCCTTAATCTAGGCACTGTCGGTCTGGAACAAACTGAATTATTCTATATGACTTGAAGGCAACAAGGATTTAGTGGGGTAATGTCCATAACAGTTCTCCATTGTCTAAGGTCGATACGCCTTCCGTTTTTAGGAAGCATTCATTTTGAAGAGTTTCTAATGCATCACTAAAACATGAAATGATGGATACGGAAACACCGGGCGGTGTAGTTCCGGAAACAATCGGTGAGGTCTAGCCATTTCTTAGCTGAGTAATATTTTGTTACGTTGATGTGGTTGTGTGAAGCGTTAGTGCAAATATCGTAAAATGCCTTGTGACGATCGCATATCGTCTGACCTGGTATTTGTCGTGCTTTTTCTAAGGAAATGCTGATCATAAACTGAAGACTCAGAAGTGTCTATCATAGCCATCGAATTATAAAACGGTCGTCTTTCATCTTCATTCATTCCTCTCGACGTCCGTTTTCTTAAAGCCACTTGGGTCCTTTTCCCATTTGATATCCAGTTTTTATGAATTGAATCCGCATGAACATTTTCGTGTTTTTCCATTAATTTTTTTTTCTATAAAAACAAAATTCGAGTGTTTGAATCCATTTGTTTAATTTAAAGCAACTTTATGAGATTTGATGACCAGCTAGCTCTTCGTGCACCTCCTAAACTCATACCCATTCATGTTGTAAAGTTTCGAGTTAACGGATCCTTTGATATTAGAATTCCAACATTTGAATAGCTGCAAATTTCATGAAGGCACCCCACACTTCTTGGAAGGGAGCCACACGCACTGAGTATAGTAGCACTTTTGTGGAGAGAGACGTATTCGAAAATTTGTTTAACTACTCCACAACAAGACAATACGTTGTTGATCGGTCCAGACTTGTAGATGCTACTCGTGTTCTTCTTGACGTCGCTGCCGTCGACAGACTCCTGGTGCGTGCAGTGTGCGTCAGTGACGCTGTTCAACCAATGGCAACTCACCGGTTTTGCACGCTATCCAGCTAATCTCCCATTTACTCCGAGGTACCACTTAAAATTTTTGCACTGTGGCCGACGGCGAAGTTCCATCCGTTCGTTTAAGCCCACGATAGTGCGAAGTTTCCTAGTCTTTGAAAAGTGGTATAAAAATTTTAAAAAAACGACTGTAGTGTCTTATATTCGTCTTAATACCTTCGGTTATCTAATGACTGAATGAAGCTATCGATAGTCCTAGAATGTTTACTGGGAAACGAGCTCGGTATCTTTAAAGTCAAAGCTGAGAGACGTAGTAAAAGAAAGTTAAGGAGAGAGCTAAGACAGCGTACCCCTAAGGCAACACGAGTAACACAAACAGCGCTGAAAGTAGAAATGTCGAACACGGCTAACAAAAATCAGATAACGCGCTTTTGCGTCCTAAGCGATTTTCACATCTGATTTATTAGTGTTTCGTAAGTCACATAATATGATAAATTATTTTTATATATAACATAACAATATCTTGAATTGATATCTTCTACTCGTTGATTCGAAAATCTGAATATTCAGGTGTGCTTCAGTCGAAGATGATGACACTCTGTCGCCTACAATGAACGTCACTCAGTGCTCCAGTGTCTGCTTCGAAATGGTCATTCCGTTTGGTTTGTTTCAGGAAGTTTTAGATTGCAGGTTTTTCCTTCCATCATTCTCCAAGGAGTTTCCTGTGGGAGCCGTCACAAACCTCTTCGATCAGCTATGAACCTCGTTGCCATGAGAACAGCTTCTATAATAGTTCTTCATTAAATCTCTGATAATCTAGTTACCAGCATTTTTAATGTGAACTTTTACTCAAAAATATCTTTGCAATTTATGAAGTTTTTACAACAGATGACTGCTTGAAAATTCGACTGACATAGTTTTTATTGGCGGAGAATGTAGGATTCAATATCTTATAAAGTCACGATGCTTAAGAGAACCAATACAATTTCGTTCGTGGTTGTCATGCTGATTTCATCGAAGTGGGCTCAACGTCACAACAAGTTCCTTCTGACGAAAAGTGTGTTTATTCCAATGTGGTCGATCAGACGGTCATTATCGGTGACGACTACAGGGAAGTCCGTCCGGTGAGCCAAAATTCGTCTTTTCGAATTCGAATAAATGACTGCTGTGTGGGCGATGGTTATTTAAGGAAATTCGTCTGAAAGAATTATACTTAGAGAAGCACACTTTCGTTTGTGCCACTTTAAGCAGAATTTATTAAGGACTGTTCTTTTTCTTCAAGGTGAATCTCTTTATGACTGAGGTAATTCTTGTTGTGGAAGACCAAACACAGAGGAGAATAAACATAACATGAGAGCAAAAAGAATACTTGGCATCCTTTTCTAAGTTTCTCTTAACTCTCAACTATTCTCCAGATCAGTCGTTAAGCAGAAATTCCGAATGTATTTATTGCGTTGTTCAGAAATAAATGAGCGTTTTTAACCATATTATTTAAGATGTCATAACTTTCTTTAAACAAAACCTTATTGGCTGAGTTAACACGTTTTTGCCAAAGAGAAACTAGTTTAATTATTTTAGTTGCTTAAAATTTTGGAGTTCTGGAAGCGATGAATTCGTTGAAGGCAGTCTTTTGCGTCATCGTGGTTAGTGAGGCATTTCTCGCGCAGGATGTTGTCAAGGTGTTTGAAGAAGTGAGAGTCGGTAGGCGGAGAGGTCTGATGGATATGGCGGATGAAGCAAAGTTTCATGGCCCAATTCATTCAACTTCTGCATCGCGAGATGCACAACGTGAGGCCGGGCGTGTGCAATCTCGGCTTTGGGAAGTGCTGTGGAGTCTGATCCCAATCACACTACTGAGCTGAACGACATTATCTTCAACCTAAACTTCATTAATGTTTCGAGCCGTCTCTGATGCACTATGACCGACTTTGAACTCATAAAAGGAAATTTGACGAAAATTCGCTGTTGACATTTGGAACTGCAACGCTCGGAATTGCTAAAAAGATTTAACCTTTGACAGAACATAAAAATATCTTAGAAAGAGCATAAAATCAGCTTTCTAATAATACATAATTGTAAGCTACAAAAAATATTTTGTTGGTAAAAAGACATAAAAACTGTAATTATTTTAGAACACTCATTTATTACTGAAGAACTTGATGAATTGTATTTGGCCAAGAAAAATCCGTCGCAGTTGTCCGGACTCGTTTTATTCGTTGGAGTTGACATCGAATGACGCCGGCATAGTGGCAACAGTGTAAAATAACTAGCATGGTTGAGAAAAGTCAAGCGATGGTTGTTTAAGAGAATTATTTCTGTTCCCTAATGATTCGAAATCATCGCAGCATTTTCGTATGCTCTATAAACCTTAGCGAGACAAAGTTTAAAGCACGGCTTTGAAGTTTTTCGTGCGATTTTTTAGTGGAGTAAAAGAAGTGCAATTCGAATTAAATCTGGTGAGGCTGAGGTCAAATTTCTCACGCTTCCAAGAGCCCAAGGGCGGAGCGCTTCTAAGTCATTAAATGGCGGATATTTTTCTTGCAGAAACTCTTCAGCTATATACAAAGCACTTTTTTACCAGCAACTATGATAATCTAGGGTGCGTGTGGCGTAGTGGTCGGAGGCTCCCTGCAATACACATAGGATCAATTCCCACGCCCTTGGCCCACCAAGCCATCCATCCCTCTGGGGTCGGCAAATTGGTCCCAGACTTGTCTGGGAGGATAGCAGCACTGGCTCGATACATCGATAGGCCACCGCGAGTCATTGTAAAGGCCAGATATACATTCAATCATCTCCAAACGATGCTTAGTGAAATCGAATGCATGGCGCATCCCTAAAGGATTGATCAACGCCGAAAGCTTTTAGAGCTCTATAATAATCTATTGATAAGGCTTTCACAACGACCGTCCAAAATCCCTATGAAATCGATTTACAGGTAGCCGTAATTCACTTCGTAATGATGAACAGCGGAGAAATTTCAAATGCGAAGATCAATACGAAATCGCTAAACAGCGCGGTTCCACCATTCATTAGTAAATTGAAATGTAACCGTAAGTGTTTCTACAGTTCTATGTACTGGTTAGATAAAAATGAAACTGTGTTCTTTGGGAAGTGCTGAGAATTTTTTCCCACAGAGAAGGATTCTAGAAGATCAAATCTCGAGCTTTGAGTTGCACCTGACTTTTATAGGTGAATATAGACCTTTTATCTAAGCTGATCTTGTCATAACGATAAATCTTTGATACATTAGTTCATTTGCTATTCACAAACTCTACGTTTACTAGTTGTTTGCTCTAGCTTAGTTTCCAAATAGAATATGGTCAGGAGGAAAGATGAAACAGATTTCCTTAAAACATTCATTGAAACTAAAACCAACAGAGAATAATATCTGTTTTTTTCTTACCTGGTTCCCTTATAGTTTTCCTTCTCCATTTTTGCGATCCTCATCGTGTTGCCATTCAGAAACAAAGCCAATAAGCTGCGTGAAAAGTGTCCATTACGACGGTGTTGTGGAGAGCAACAACAAGGATTCTTGTACCGGCGGATTTTGTACGACTGTAAGAGGAAAGCTGAATGGTGAATTGTGCAGCTTCATTAGCCTACCTATTTTTTCGTATTATTACAACACATTTTGGTAACACATCTGAAGCACAAGAAACTCTGGTGTAGAATTCTGTCCGCACGGTGTGCACTGTAGAGACCCTGTCAATATAACACATCTACAGTACCCCTATAGCTATAGGAGTACTGTAAATAGTTTGTATTAGCTACAGCAGCTATAGTACTCCTATACCCTATGGAGCAGTGTTCTTGCGTATGGTATGTAGCTTAGAGGCGAAATCGACTTTACTCCCTATATTTCGGCTGAGTATAGATATGGTCATGCTGCACAGAATGGTTTCGTAACTGAATAATAAAAACTGAGCTAGTCAGATAACCTGCTCGTGCATAAATTTTTAAATTCAAATTTAAAACTTCTGCTTCGCCATAGGTTCCATTATTCCTTATCTTCAAGTCTCTCACAGATGAACTTCATTCCTTTCATATATGGGAGCGGTGCCTGTGTCCCTTTTTCAAACATTACTTGCGATGCACAAAGAAGTCAAATGCAAGGTGCAACTCTCAAGGTTTTTTCAGCTTAAAATGTTTTATCTTTTATCCTTATATGGAGCAACTGCGCCAAACGAACAAGAACGAGAATGCTCACTGAAAGTAAAAGTGGCAGCCGCTTTCAACGAGCACTTCCGACCACCACCTTGGTACTTTCCGTCATTGTGCAGTATGGCTTGCATCCAACAATGACTATTCAGTATAATAAGATTTGGTTATATTCTTTCTTACTTTTTTTGTATGATATTGAAGACCTGTTTTATGCTGGTGTTTGGAACTTTTATGTATGGCAACCGGTTTAGTATTCAACGGCGCTGAGTTGCGATTAACCCTTTTATCAAACAGGTACCCGAAGACATTTGGACCCGAAAATCATTCGTTGACGTGTTATTAGTAGCTAACGCTGCTTTCCACTTTTTAGTTTTTTTTTTTTAAATTCCTCTTTTGACATTTGTTCATAGTGAATAACGGTCCCTATGGGCCAATCGGCAATTCGTTCAAATCTTTTTCGTTCTGCTCTAGAATGTTTCGTCTTTACTGAATGCCCTCTTCTACTGAATTTTTCAAATGCAGTTTTAGCCTCTTTTCATGGTGCGTCAAATTCCTTGAGAGATTGCTTGAATAAGGACGAACCGTTGATGCCTGCCAATTATTTTATCTCTTGGTCAATGCTGTCAGTTCCTTTCACTGAATTCGAAAACTGAATTGCGCCTTAATCGGTTTTCAGTAGAATCACGTTCAGCATTAAAGCGTTTCCAGTGTTATAAAACTTGTTTCCTTCCCTTTTGTCCCTTTTCTTCAAGAAGCTGCTTCTAAAAACCTCAATGCCAGACCTAAATTTCAAATCATAACGCAGTATGAGGCTGCCAACCAAAACCATATACGGAAATTCTGCAATGGTTCGAAATGATAGGTTTTCAGAAAGAAAATATGTGGAACGCGGTTGTGCATCAGTAGCGCCGTACTCAGAGGACACTTGCGTGTGGATGAACATCAACTCTTCGTACCCGTCCGGTCCAAGCGCCAGCAGCTCCGTGTCGAGACCTAAGCGCTCGCTCGCTCTTGTCCTACAGGCTACTGAATGCTTTTGTACAAGTAAGCTTAGACAGATCTGTACCTCATTTGTATTTCAACATACATTTTTATTTTTGCAACAGAGAACTGAATACTAACGTATTTTCCACACTTCGTGAAAATTTTGGTGGTTAGCTATGTGCCACACTGATCTTTTGAGATACTTTTCACCAAGCCCGGTTCGCCAGTGCTTGAAGAAGCTCGTTGGCTCTTTCACTTCGAAATAAAATGATGATAGTGGGGTATTGTTTATCAGTGAGAAGTGGTTCGAGCAAAATTATTCGGGTAAATTATGCAACTGAGTAGTTCCATCTACTCAGTCTTCAGTATTTTTTCTAAATATCGGTATAAAATAGCTATAGGAAATCTCTTTTTTGGCGATCAGGAGGTCTGTGTTTTTTTGCATCTAGATTCGTTATTCCGTTGGTTATTAAGTGGTCCATCCTCACATGTCGTTCAACTGAGGATTGCCGCCTATCGACCAGAATTCTTGCAGAACGGAAATGTTTCGTCTGATTATCGACTAGTTCAAGCTCTGTCAATCAATAAAGATATATTGCAGCCTTCACCCAACTGAAATGAATCCACGACAAATGAAAAACGCTTAACGCTTCCATTACCTTGCTTTTCTACTTTTTACGACACTATATAATGTGCGGATCCCAGAACTTCCCTCTCTAGATTCGCTTCCTCGCGCTTTCATTCGCTAAAGTCTTCAAGGTTTGTCTCAACGATTTGCGTGTGGCTTCGGCTGTCACCTGACTTTTTTTCTTAATGAATAACATACCAATGCACATCGTCTCACCTTTATCCTGTCGTCCAGTTGATCGTCGAGTGACTCAGGCGAGTACCAGTAAATGTAAATCTTCCCTTTTTTCCGTCGCATAGAAGAAAAGTCCAGTGGATTCTACTCGCTCTAGAGAATCGTTCATTCAGTTCATATTTTTTTTCTAGGCTTTTTTCTTTTCTTTCGTTAAAAACTCTGACCATCGAGTCGCTGGTCTTCCTGCAGTGCGTTTGTCATCCGGAAAAATCTAGTCACTAACGGCTCCTGTCCATCGGTTGTTGTTCATACGCATTATGTGTCTGCCCATCTTGTTTTCGACAGTATGGCAAATACAACGGCATCTTTGATGAAGTAGGTCGGAGCTTCCGATCCCTTTTGTCACTTGTGTGACACAAGATACTCCTAGCACTCCTAGAAATAAAATAACACCTCGTGTTTGCTAAGTAAGAATATAAAAAAATTGTCCGATCAATGTTGAGCTTAATAGATAGTCGGTCATGGGAGTTACTTCTAGCATCGTTGTTTCGACTGTACGTTCAATCATGCTAAGTGGTCTTTGATCTTGCTTGCGTAGTGACCATGTTTCTGAAGCATACGCTAAAGTAGGAAGAGTCACAGAGTCGAAAAGCTAAGTGTAGAGTCGTGTCTTCTTTGCTCTCTTCACTACATCTTCAATGTTCCTGAAAAGTCTTCAAGCCGCTCGCATCCTCTTACTCAGTTCTGGAGCTAAGCCGTTCATTGTTTTGATTTCCCAACCAGCAGGAGCAATCATAGATATTTTTCGGCTTAGATGGTGCATACGAAACCAATCTCTTCGTCATGAAAATCGTTTTTGTGGGATTTAGCCGAAGACCAATCCTTTCACAGGCGTTATCAAAGTCGGGAATAATTTATTCCATCTAATGCTTGGTGTTTTAAGAAGGGTGTCGTCAGTAAAGCGAAGATGGTATAATTGCCGGCCATCGATTTTCACCATGTTATCCCATTCCAGTGCTCGCATGACCTTCTTAAGGGTGGCGATAAATAAATTTGGCGGGATACTGTCTCCTCGGCTAACCCCCTTTTTGACGTCGATATTAAAATCGTTATGGAATGGTGATGTTTTGGTTATGAGGTATTTGTATAGCTTACGAAAAATTTTTAATCACTGAGTATGGAACCCGTGGCTCTCCAGGGTTTCCATAACTGCATCAATTTCAACTGAATCCAAAGCTTTCCTGAAATCGATTGATTGAGTCTTGTTATCGTCTCGACGTTGTCCA